GTTTTTTTTTTCGTACATGACTAAAGGGATACACGCCCATTTAGGTGGTTTAAAGTGTATTTTTGGTACTAAACTAAAGGGATAAACTAAGGGGAAAAACGGGGATAAACTGCAGGGATAAAGGGGTATTGACTGTGGGTTTGCTCATCTGACAGAACAGCGGGCCTGTGCTCCTATTGGTCAGTCTCAACAGAACTGACAGCTGATTGGTGGTTTTGAGAGAGAGAGGAAAAACATTTAATAATCGTTTTCCAAATGTCAGTTTATCTTTTATTAAATGAGAAAATATTTTCTCAAAGCTTTTTTGTCAGTCTCAAATAGCATCAGTTTTTTTGCTATCAGCGTGAAAACTTGTTTTTTTTATATATATTGATCCCACTTTCGAAATTATTTTCTGCTTTCAGATGACTTTTTCTTGAATTTAATAAAAACACAAAAATACTCCATAATTACTTTGTAAAAAAAAAATAGAATAAGATAATTAAACAGAACAGAAAGCTTTCCATCAAGTTCCACCCTAAAGGTATTTTGGTGTCTACCAGCTTTTTTGCCGGCGGACATCATTGCCAACTCATCTTTTCTAAGTGGTTTTATGAAGCACACTGGAAGCAATGTGTGTATGAACGTCAGCTGCAGGATTTGGTGCTGATGGAGAACTTTGACCGAAACCTGCAGGTTGTTTAAGTCTGCTGGTGATGCTCTGGGAAGCCTGCATCTCATTGTTAGACTCTGTGGTTTCCATTTCTTGGTCCCAAAATGGTCACAAAAAAGTTCAGAGTGGAGCCAGTAGAGCCAAACCAGGCCTGAGTGTTTTCAGTCCCCGAATGTCTGCAGAATCCTGCAAATAATGCAGTCGTTTGCATCATTTAAAGGATGTAAAATATTGAAATATTCAGCTTTCCTTTTTTTAACCCTCCTCTCCAGTTTTCACTCCTTTGTCGTCTCTCATCGTGTTTCTAGATCCATACTTATCTCCACGTATCCCTCAAACCTCCTTCTCTGTCCCTGTCAGAGAAATCCCCCCTATAGCACGATGCTACCACCACACAGTTTTCTGCATGTAAGACACATGGATTGTTTTGGTCGTGTTCTTTTTTTTTTAAAGCTTGTTCACCACTACAACCCCATAAAAAAACAAAACAACATGGAAGTGATGTAATATGTTGAGGCAGAGGGTTTTAGGTAGGAGAAATACTTTAGCGCAACACAAGGCAGGTTTATAATGCAGACCCCGTCCTCTGACCAGGCGACACTTCTCCATCGGTGTTTGTCCGTCCGCCTAATAATGTGTAGAAACATCATCATGCCTTTAATATATTTTCCCAATGTTCGACCACAGAACACGCAGCAAACCCTTCAGTTCCCACATGCATCGGTGAGCCTCAGTTTCCCATGACCCACTTTTCGATTTAAACAAGTTTTTTTTCACTCTGGGGTTTTCCAGAGCATTTATTTTTTTCAGTCTGTGCATTTTGAAGCCTATTTTGACACCACATACAGCAATCTTTTTTTTTTTGTTCATAATACTCTATTTCTGCAGCCTCGTTCGCATGCGTCTCTTCCAGCAGCTTTCACTTTATCAATGCACAAAGGCTTACATTTCACCTTCTCCATGCATGCCTTCCCCTCCTCCATCTGTGTTCCTCTTATTCTTCCCTCCCTTCTTTTTTTCCCAGCATTATGCATTTCTTCTGATATTCATGCCAGCATATCATCTGCATGCTTTTGAACTGCTGCAATCTACGCTCCATGCACGCCTCACATCTCCCTCCCTCGCTTTTTGGCACAGAGGATCTTTTATTTGCAGTTTGAACGTAAAGTTCAGATGTTTTTTGGGCGAATCTTCTTTAGAAAACCAACATTTTGAATCAATTCTTCACATTTTTCAAGTTTAGTATTTAGGATGAGCGGATTATAGCTGCAACTTTGCTCTTTTATTGTTATTTTTTTTACCCTACATGATGTGCTGCTGTCCGCTTTGGTGATAGTTTTTGTCGAATATCTTACCCACTGCCTTTTCTGTCCCAAACTCACCTCTTTCTACTTTTGCAGGCCAAGTCATGCATCTGTCACATGTGCGGAGCCCACCTCAACAGACTCCACTCCTGCCTCTACTGTGTCTTCTTTGCCTGCTTCTCCAAAAAACACATCCATGAACACGCCAAGAGCAAAAGGCATAACCTGGGTATGACCACACAGTCTCCCTCATCCACCTCCTGCTGTATGTAAATTAGTATGTAAAACAGCAGACAACAAATCTGTGTAATTAGCAGAGGTTCTAGTGAGCTGGATCTTATTATATTTAGATGTTTCCTAATCTCTATGCAGTAGATAGTTAGATCATCTTGGATGTGGTACAAAAATCAACCTTGCTGCACTCCATTAAGCCTTCCTGTTGTCTGTTTGAAATGTTGCTCTCCCTACCTGAATGAACCACAGGGTGGTCTAATGCTACCCTGAGCCATGCTAAGAAACACCGCTCTTCTAGATGTTTTTAGCAGCTGTTTATAAGTCCTGCTTCACCTTCTGTTTATCAGGGTGTGTTGGTGTATAAGGAGGTTGTTAATGTTTGAACACACTCCAACCTCAGGGTGACACACTGGCAGCGTTGAGAGGCACTTTATCAAGAGCCACATAGTTAGGAGCTCTTATGCAAGCCTGTGCAACATAATTGCAACACCTTTCACAGAGAGATTAACCTCAGGGGGTGAATAATGATGTCACTGGTGTATTTGGACCCATGTAGCCCATTTGAAGAAACAAGCGTTGGTGACGTGACTAATGGATAGGTTGATGGATAATGAAGATTAGCTGCACCATGTTGTTATTTGATGTTTCTCTTTTTATTATTATTGTAAAGCTAATTGCTTCATTCAGAGGTGCCTGTGGGAGGAAGGTAAATCCCTACAGCGCAGTAAAACATACCTCCTTAAAGCTGTCTGGGGCTTTGTTTCAGGAACTGAACCAACTTGCCCACACAAAGGCTGCTGTCTTGGCATATTTCCACAGCCAAGGATGGATTCTGGAGCCTAAATGATATCTTTGTATGAATTTGAGTAAAGACGTAGGGATCAGTTGTTTTTCTTTGTCCTACCCCCCTGATAGTCCCTCAAGGACAGAACAAGCTGTGATAAACCAAATATTGATTGGATGTTATTTAAATAAATATAGGGTGCAAAAAGGATAAACATCTATTTGATGACGTATGAAACCCAACTGCTGAAAATATCTGAATATGAATGGATATTAATGTAAACTTTTAGCTACTAGAGGTGTTAGGCATTTAACTTCCACTTTAAAGCGACCGGTGACACCACTTTGTTTCCCTCAGCGCATCTGAAAGACAAAAACACATTCACTCACCAGGATATTTTAAAGCTTGCTGTCTGCTGTCACTGCTGGAGCGTTTTCACCTGCCTTCTTCTGGGAACCAATGACGACCTTAAGGGGGAATGCCATTTTTTTTAACATTTGGCCACTTGATTTTACGGTATTCCATCATGTTCTACTCACCCATATGAGTTTTGTGTCATTTGGAGCTGTTCTGAAGATATTCCGTTAGGTTATATCCAAGTAACGTCTTCCTATGGGCAACGACTTGAAGGCAGAAACTAAACTGTTCATAATTTATTCTTTATGGTACGCCAGCATTCATAACATGTAGGCGAATCACTGTCCCCCAGACATCCATGGTTATATTTTTATATTTATATGTTTTAAAAACAAAGCGGCGCGTGTATGACGTCATCACCCTTGCGCACATTTGTAAATAAGAAGGTAAATGTGCTTAAAACCCATTTTTTTGTGTGGAAGTCATTGTAAGTCTGGGTATCGGCATAGTTCCACTGTAATTCTAAATGTTTTAGTGTGACCAGTGTCTGCTGAATTCTGGTATGCAGTAAGCCCAAAGATTCGCTCATAAAAAATTTTACTTGATTTTCAGCATAACAGCCCATTGGTAAGAACTGATTCATCCATCCATTTTCCGTCACGCTTATCCCTGCTGGGGTTGCGATGGGTGCTGGTGCCTATCTCCAGCTGTCTACGGGTGAGAGGCAGGGTCCACTCTGGACAGGTCGCCAATCCATCGCAGGGCAACACAGAGAAAAATAGGACAAACAACCAGGACAAAAAGGAGAATTTAGAGAAGTCAATTAACCTAACAGTCATGTTTTTGGACTGTGTGAGGAAGCAGGGGTTTCCGGAGAGAATCCAAGCATTCTCAGGAAGAACATGCAAACTCCATGCAGAAAGACCCCGGGGAGCGAACCTGAGACCTTCTTCCTGCACTGAGCAGCCCCTGATGAGAACATTATGGAATGGGAATTTCTTTTGTATACAAAATGATAATAAAAATTGGCTACCGTATTTTCACGACCATAAGGCGCACCGGACTAAAAGGCGCACTCTCAGTTATGTGTCCCATTTCTGTATTTAACACACACATAAGGCGCACCGGACTATAGGGCGCGTTTTTTATATANATATAATATACAAGTTTCACTTTTTAAATGGAATTACTGAAATCAATCTACTTTTTCATGATATTCTAATTTTATGACCAGCACCTGTAAATGCTTAAATGGTCTGTATGATTAAAATGCTCTATCAATGATTAAAAGAGAAGGGCAGCAGAATAAAATAAAAGTCCAATCTCAGCCCACTGGTGAGTTGTGCTGTTTTTAGAAGATGATGTGGACACCCCCATGTGGCCCCTGAAGGCGCACGGCGTTGTGTCCTTGGGCAAGAAGCTTCACCCACGTTGCCTCCTGATTGCGCACTGCAGCCTCGCTTCTGTCACTGAGCCCCAGGGCAGCTGTGGCTACAATTTAGCTCCCCACCATTAGTGTGTGAGTTAATGACTGAATGTAGTGTACAGCTCCTTGGTCAAGTCTACCGCCCTGAAAAGCTGCTATACAAGGACAGACCATTTTCCATTTCAATTTTAATGAGACTACACAGAAACTGAGGAGCAATTTTACGGGCCTGACGGGAGGAGAGGCACAATTCAAAGTAAAACGCATCAACCTTAGGAGAAAATACAATCAAAAAACATTAATATTTCAGCTCTGGCATACCTCTGCTCTGGAGTTACTTCTCCAAATACCGCTAAGGTTCCACTTAAAGGGCTGATAAGACTTCTGCAAACGCACACATCAAATGTCGCTTTTGCTGGTATGCTTCTGCACCATTGGTCTGGAATTTCAAGGGACGCACAGTTTCCCGCCAAAGCGCAAGGGGAAGCCTATTCGAAAACTCGTGTGAACTTTTTAAAAATGGCGCGTCCGACCACCGAATCGAGAAGGACGACCACACAGACAGCCGGAAAGGCATACCAAGGACCAATCACAGCTGCTTTTTGTCTGCACACTTCCACTTGAGGTCTGCGCGGGTGTGTGACCGTCCGATGCGTAGTCAGGATTTTTTTCACAGAGACACATTTGAAGCTTGCAGAGGTTATGCGTCAGAAACATGAATTGGCCTTAAGAATAACCAGCGACACTCTAGTGGATAGTGGTAGTTACACTGAGAGAAGTTCTGCTCAATTCAATTCCAGAACACTTTTTAATCCCAAAGGGAAATTAAATTCATGTGCATTTTATCAGTTGTTTAGATGTGACGCATTTGAATCAATTAAACCAGTTGATTATTAGTTAACCTCCCTATATGACAAAATTTTATTCAGTCTTGATGCAAACACTAGTCAAAGCATTAAAAGGGGTGTGGTCTTCCTGCCATACAACTAGGTGATATGGTTTTTAAAAGTCAACATTTGTACGTGTATAAATGCCTCCTGTTTAATGTGTAGGTATTGTAGTGCGGCTCTGTCGGATTTACAGACGTACAGAAAGATTCCTGCAACCTGGATGTTTTTAAAAAGCTTCCCTTAGAATCGGTGCCGTTCTCAGAGAACTCAGCGGTCATTGTGGTTTCTGTTAACCACAAAACATGGCCTCAGACACATTTAGACTCAAGTCACTAACAATTGCCTCTGGAGTTGCATTTTTTATCGTATCTGAAGGCTAGATGTATGTCAGCCGTAATAAAGATGCAATAAAAGGTGCTTTAAATCTTTAGCCAGAGCATCATCCTGGTGATGTAAATGTGCGATGCACCTTCAGGGTCTTCATTCTTCCCTTTCTGGAGGTGAGCGTGGCAGCGAGGAGCTGAGAGAGTATCTAGAATTGGCAGATTTTGAGAAACCTATGTATGGTACCACCCCCACCCCCCCTTTCCCCCACGCTGAGTTATCGTTCTGCTCAGGAAGACCTCCTGCTGTGTGCAACGTGGCACTCCCCACTGAGTATAATTGTAAGTTTAATTAGGTTATCTGCTGAATTATGTGCTTTAAAATGGTTAAGAAGCAGAGAAAAGGACAGATCTCTGCAGAGCGGCGACAGAGTAATTAAGCATCCTTAACAAACCCCATGAAACCTGCAGATATTAAATAAATCTCCTTTCGTCCTTTACCTCCCTATTTCAACCATTTTTGTTTGCTGCATCATGTAGGCTTTTCTGCATCCCCATCCTCTTGTCTTTGGCCCTCTTGTTCCCATGGTTACCCAGTGACCCCCATCGATACGGATAAACGTTCAAGGATTTTCATCAACTGCACCTTCTTCGTTCCAGATCTTTCTTGAGTCCTTTCCTTCTATCCTGTAGTTTTTCTGTTTCTTATTTTTCCTCCATATCTGCAAAGGTCGGCTGCTGAGAGGCCCACATGCTGGTTGTTATGGCAACCTTAAACAGGTAAACGTAGGTTGCAGAAGAGGGGATGAGAAAGGAGGGAAGGGGCGTAGAGGATGTGTTTGACTTCTGTAAACACTTGAGTTTCTTCTTCCTCAGATTTCAGGGTGTGTGTTGTTTCAAATGGTTGCAGATTATTGATAGGAAGCGGCTTCGCGCATTTTGCACAAACATTATCTTCCTCACTGTCCAGTAAACCAAAACCCTCTTTGCTTTTGCATGAAGAGGATTTATGCATTGCCTTTTGATATCCTTCTGTCTCTCTCTCCATCCTCCAGCTATCGACCTGCTGTATGGGGGAATTTACTGCTTTATGTGCCAAGACTACATTTATGACAAAGAGATGGAGCAAATGTCCAAAGAGGAGCAGAGGAAAGCCTGGAAAATGCAAGGTACTTCAGCACTGAACACAACCAGTCCATTAGTGAGAAACAGCTCGACTGATGCAGCTTTTTGAGCTGATGTTGATTATTTCCACATCAGTTTAAACGTCCCTAATATGTTCTGCTGATTTATGTTTTTCTTGAGCGAATTTTAAGGCCAATGTTGGTTTATCTCTCTGTTTACATGATAAAAAGGACAAAAGTAACATTTATTTAACTTCATATAAGCCAGATTGATCAGTGTAGCTCAGTTTGGATTCTCCACACTTTTCCTGCGGAAAGTGTTCGCAAAAGGAAAGACATTCAGTTAAATCCTTGGAGCTGATTGGGTAAATCACCAAGCGGAACTTTCCTGCCATGTCAAGCTTTTAGCCAATCGCAGCATCAGTAGCTGTTGTTTTGATCATGTTTGAAGTAAGGAATGGAGGATATTCCGCGCAAAATAGGCACAGCTCTGTTTTTTTTTTTGCCTCAGCAGGGGAGTGGTGGTCTAATGCAGAGGTCACGGATTAGCGGACCACGGTCCGGATCTGGACCCACCTGCTGGCTAATCCAGACCCAACCTGATTTTGAACATTTATAAATGTTGTCTGACGGCAGTGTCTAATTTCACTTGCACCGCTTCCCCTGTTTATACGGTAAAGCCCTACGGCACCAGGCCACACCTGATTCAAATTATCCAATGAGCTGCTGTCAGTCTGGGTTGCTGCTGCTGCTACTTTTAGACACAGCAGGCAAACCTGTGGCAAGCCGAGTGATGGGAAACAAGGAGAAGATGATCAGAAAAAGTGAAAGAAAGTGTGGACTGCTGGAAGAAGCACCGTGAACTGGTGAAAAAAAAGTGAAATGGTGCTCTAAGATGAACCTGCACATTTAGAGTATGTTTGGCTCAACCTGCTGCTGTGAAGCAGGATTCTCCACCATGACCAGAATCAAAAATAAATATGGATCCAGGCTCAAAATGAGCACCTTGATATGTGCTTGAGAATGGCTTAGTCTCCATTCAAACCCAGGTTTAAAGCCTTGCAGGGCAGCATAAAGCCCACTGCTCTCATTAGAACACAGAAAAAAGAAAGAAAATAACAAACGGTCAGTTCAGGTGTTTTATAAAATATGTGAATCAGGAAATTGTCTATATACCAAACTGAGCGATTGTCGTTCTCTACTTCAGATTTTAAAATGGAAAAATGTTCTATTTTTTTCATATTTTTCTATTTAAAAATTCAATGTATAACATGGATGCAGAAACACCTCCTACAGCTTCCACTCTGGGTCTCTGAGCAAGACCCTTAACCCCACACTGCTCCCTGGGCGCCGCACAATGGCAGCCCACTGCTCCACAAGGGATGGGTTAAATGCAGTGGTACATTTCTCCAATGTGAGATCAATAAATTTATATTTTGATTATTAATAAATCTCATTTATTTACATAAACCTCAATAAATAAAACTATATTTTAGGAATGCAAGTGATTGATTAATGAATAAATCTAATGTTGAATTATTTCATTGATCAATGGATTCATTGATAAGCATTTTCTTAAAATCCTCCTGTATTAAGATAATCTTTCCATAACACAAATAGCTAAATATAATTTTTACAGTACATCATTTTATCTATTAATAAATATTGATTGAACAAACTAAAATTGTTGTTTTTTTTTGCACATTATTGAACTTATTTTTGTGATATAATAAAACAGATTGAGTGAGAGAGAGTGAATTTCGTTGCTTTGTACTTGTGACAGTGTAATGACAATAAAGTTCAATTCTTCTTCCTCTTTAGTTTTGTGGTTGACGTCATTCATGTCACTGCATTTCATCGGTACAAAACATTTCTGTATTTCTTTCAAGATGTATTTTTGGGAGTTTGTAAATTCCCAAATCTCACGACAATTCATCTTGAAAGGGAAACATTTATCAGTAAATGAAAGAAAACCTTTTCAATGTATAACAGATGAGAAAGCAGCAATCAACGTTATCTTTGAGGGAATTGCTGCTGAATGCACTAATGAGCTGGCGAACGCAAGCTGATGTGTGTAGGGATCCCATAAATACGCCCCCACCTATAATGTGATGGTCTAGCTCAAAACAAAGGCATGTCTTAGAATGGCCTAGTCAAAGGCCAGAATTGAATACAATTGAGAATCTATACAAGATTTGAAATGTTCTTTTCTTACATTCTCATGGTGGAAATTTGGCCAAATTTGAAATAATGAGTATGATAGTCTGTAGATTTGGAGCTAGTAGAGACGTAACACTGAAAGCTAGCACCAAAAATGAGGCTCCATTCACTGGTTTTAGTTTCTGTTTCTGACTAAATGTGGATTTTATAGTTTCCCACAATGCTGTTGTGAGGAGTTATTCAAATAGTCCTCCCTCTATAAGTCCTAAAATAGAAACAAATTACTTATACATGCAAATTTTGTTTAAACTCATTTCCATTTGTGCTGCAGGCATCGGGGAAAAGTATTCGACGTGGGAGCCCACCAAGAGGGAGCTGGAGCTGCTTCGCCACAATCCCAAGAGGAGGAGAATCACCTCCAACTGTACAATTGGTTGGTGCATCTGTGCTCCCAGAACTCTTAGCTGTCAGGGATTAGGAGCAGATTGCTGTCCTGATCAGCTCCTCGTCCGAGATGGATTGGAGATCAGCTGAGGAGGAGAGCCTAGATGTTTTATTTAAAGGCTTCCATTGGCTGTTAGCCCTGATGGATGGAGCCATTTTCCTGCTGCATTCAGATGATGTATTCCTAGATTAACTGTCTATTTGAGGCATTAGCTGATGTTTGGGCTGTAGTCGGTGCAGCATCAGTGAATGTTATGTAGCTGTGTGCAGCACTGACTGGTTCTGGCAAACCTTTTATCACCTTGTAGCAGCTTGCAGAGAAGTGCCCAGCGCTATTAACATCATTGGTACCGAGGAGGGGGTTAGAATCCTGGCTGCTCATCAGACGGCCTCCTCCTCCTGATTTCCACCCTCTCATCGGGGAAAGTGCTTTGTCCTTCATCAGGGCAGATGGAAGCACCTCGCCCCCCTATTGTTGGCCTTATCCTTCCTGCAGAATAGCTCTACATGCTGAGACTTTGACTAGGCTGTTTTAACACAGGAAGATGGTTTTGGAGGTAATGATAAGCAGGGATTAAAGTATTCTGGCCTCAGGCTGGATTTCCGGCCTCTAGTGATTGCCCATGGGTAAAAAAAAAAATTTATAAAAAATAAATTGAGGGTAAATAGAACTAAAAAGACAAGCGCTCTGAAACTAACAGTATTAGCCAATCAGAAGAAGAAGGGGGCGGGTCTTGGGAAAGCATACCGCCAGATAGATGGTGGTACAGTGCTGAAGGGAAAGTCAACTTGCGTCGTTTACGGCTCCATTCAAAGGAGAGACGTGTTAAAAGTAAAAAAATAAATTAATTAAACTTTGAGTTTGGACAGAAGGACAATGGAGAGAACGGAATTGCACGGACTTATTTACACATCCAGCGGCAAAAAGGTGCTACGCAAACATGAATTAGACGCCGGTCATCTAGCTGCTGTTCGTGCGGCCGTGCACACTACATGTTTGCCGGGAGCTACGGCAAAAGCTGATTTATCTGCGTCAATAACTGACCGTGTATGTGAGTTAGAAATAAGGGTTTGTGCTTCCCTCGCAGAACACGACCTCTCATTCACACTAGATATGGATGAACTTTTGCCATCTTCTAGGCGTTTTTGGTATTGGATTTTCAAAAGTCAAATTTAGTATTTAATCATTCATGCATTCCAAAAATATGAAACTTTGATATCAGGCAGTCTTTTGGTTTGATTGAGAACAAAATTGTGGCCCAATGATAAAGATAATCCTCAAAAATACAACTTCTCTATATATAGGGTTTCTTGACTGTGTCGAAAAACTTAATCGTTTTATTACTATATTGATAGAAATGTTGCTTCTCATGAAGCAAACAGGAGATGGAATAAGAAAAACAATAAACCAGATGGTTTTATATCTTCTGTATGAACCTACATTCTCTAACAGTAGATTCATTACAACAGTGTTTCTGCTCATCATGATGTTTGGTCTCAGTTTTCTCAAAGCTCTGAATTTTGATTTGGATTAATGACAAACAGGATTCATGTAATTTCCATTAGATGTCCTAGATTTTGTTCATGGATCTCAGAGTTACAGAAGCCAAATGTAAAATCTGCTAACTGATGTGAATTATCACCCTGTTTCTCCATGCATCCAGTAAACACATTGAGGTTTGATCGTCCATCAGCCTGTGTTCAGTCAGGCAGGCTCCTATCAGTCCCTGGGGCTCACATAGAAAACAAGCATATTGAGAAGATTCAGTCAGTAGGAAAAATATCTGCTTCTCTTCCAGCAGGCAGTGATGGAGAGCTTATTACAGGATAACAACATGGGCTTAGTGTAGAAACCTGTTTATGCTACTAAAAAATGATAGTTACAAATATAGTTAATGCTGAGAAAGATCAGCATCCCTCAGCCACTATATGTTAAGATCCAGTTGAACCAAACTCTCCATTATGGGTGGGGGGGGTGACATTACTCTCAACGAGTGACAGTTGGTTCCCCTTTCTGCAGTTTTATCAGTGAATAGTTCATCCCTGCCGCCGTCCGTTCTGAACAGAACCAGCTGTCCCTAACTACTGACATGGCTAGTTTGAATGATCTCCATCCAACTACATGGAGATGTTTCCACATATGTTGTTTTTTAAATTAAGACTATATTTATTAGCCTTCTTTATTTCTTTTTTTTTTTTTTTACAGATTTCGTTTCCTTACTTTGACTAAATATTTTTTTCTGCAGGGATCAATAAATGTGATAGAATGCTAGAATTCTGATAAATGTGAAACTGAGTGGGATTGTTGCCTCCCACTGCTGTCATGATGTTTTACACCCAAATTTTAAGATTTTATTACTAGGACTGGGTAAAAAAAATCGATTCAATGGATTTTGGATCGGTTCCTTTGCATTTTAGCAAAATGGATGTGCAGGGAATGAGGTCGATTGGTTTTATAGTAATGCGTGTGACGTTCACATTCAAATGAGCAGGTGTGTGCAAATGCTGACCAAAGTAACACACCGCTCAGCAAGCTGTCCCACTGAAGTCTGATGTCTGGAACCATTTTGGATTTAAAATAGATAAAGATAATGTGCTGGATATGTGACATTAAGGTGACTTCCCACTGCATTGATAATGAGTGGCGCCTCACATCTCATGCTACAGACCACCAAGATGACTTCTAGCCGGACGGCTGCAAATTTGTTAATGCAAACATTAACAAACGGGGGCTGCAGTTGTTACAGACAACTCTGCAAATATGGTTTGTGCAGTGAAGATAATGCAGCAGATGCATGTCTGCTGTGTCCCCGCTGTTCACGTCTGCTCGCTTGTGTGAGGCTTCACTTTCTCACGTTTCACAAACAAGTTTGCTCTTCTAAGACAGTTTTGTTCACATCTCAAGTTTAAACTGTCCGATTTACAAGTTTGCACTTTGTGTTTAATACGACTTAAAATCTAAAAGACATGAGTATTTTGAAACGCAGTTGAACCACTTTCATAAATGTAAAAACAGATCGAATCGAAATAAATCGATTTAGAACTGCATGAATCAAAATCGAATCGATTCAGGACTTTGGCCAAAATACCAGCCCTATTTATTACATAACTAATTCTCACTTTTTTTTTAAAGAAACCTTACATGATGCGTATTCAATTATATAATAAAGCTTATTTATTTGAAATGCATAATCATAAGTTTTAGGTATTTACAATTAATAAAGTATACTTATTCAAAAGTAAACTAATTAATGAGTGTATTTATTTCAATTCCTAAAGCTTGAAATTGCATGAAGAGACTCGATTATTATGGAATAAACAATAAAAACGTAAACCTCACAATTATGTATTTGAAATAAAAAAAGCATTATTATACAAACAAATCTGCATCATGTGTTTATATTATAGGTTTGTGTTAAAATGATTTAAACTAAAAGTAAATTACACTTTTTTTATGTAATAAAATTTTATAAATCTTCAAATTTGGGTGAAATATTTTTGTGATCTGGTGAGTTCTAGTCTGCAGGTTGCCTTTAATTCTTTGCCTTTGTGTTTAAATAGTATCAGATCTAATCTGTGGGCATCAGAGGGATGATAATCCCTCGGTTTTTCTCCCTCAGGGCTGCGTGGTCTGATCAACCTGGGCAACACTTGCTTCATGAATTGCATCGTCCAGGCGCTGACGCACACGCCGCTGCTACGGGACTTCTTCCTGTCCGACCGACACAAATGTGAGATGCAGAGCAACTCGTGTCTGGTGTGCGAGATGTCCCAACTCTTCCAGGAGGTGAATATCCTTCCTTTTTTCTCTTAGTGGCCTAACAGGGAAAGTTTGCTCTCATCTCCTCCGTTCTCCTCGCCCCTCTAGTTCTACTCAGGCCACCGCTCCCCTCACATCCCGTTTCGCCTCCTGCACCTGGTGTGGACCCACGCCCGCCACTTAGCTGGCTACGAGCAGCAGGACGCTCATGAGTTCCTCATCGCGGCGTTGGACGTGCTGCACCGACACTGCAAAGGTGAAAACAGAGATGAGGGAGGAACGCGGTTCACAGGCTGACAGATCTGTCTCACTTTTGAGTGGGACGTTAAAGTTCACCTGGATGGCTTTTATAAAACATTTTATACGTCTCTGTGTCTCCACAGACGACAACGGGAAGAAAGCCAACAACCCAAACCACTGTAACTGCATCATTGACCAAATCTTCACAGGGGGTCTGCAGTCTGACGTCACCTGCCAAGTGTGCCAGTAAGTGTGTGTTTGAGTCAAATGGCAAACCTCAGAACGAAAAGACGAAGCTGTCATGATGCTTTTTCTATTAAACTCTGGTTCTTGTCTGCTTGTGATCCACCCTGAGCTTCACTGTTGATCACTCCCACATCTGCATTTTGAGCTGCTTCACTGCAGCAGCAACAAGGCCGAAAGCCTTATGGTTGGTCTCTAGCTCCACCTGCTGGATCCATGCTACAATTGCAGCTTTGAACTGCTCCTTTCAAACATGTTGGTGTGTTTGAATATAAACGTATTCTTATCATGTAGGGTTTAAAAAAAGTTTGGGAAGCATGCTTGAGAAAAGAAAAAAAAAAAAAAAGCAGAAACTAAATGTAGATAAGGAATCCAGTCCTACCTTAAAGGTATCGTTGAGAATATAGTTTTTTTTCAGGGCGGATCATCAAAATCATTAAAAGCCATCAAATTATTACTTTTTAAATGAAGTTCTGAATTGGCATTAAAATCCATTAAATGTGCTTATTGGTGCATTTAAAATGCTTTATTTAAAAAACAGAATAAAAACAGATGTATCAGATATAACTGCTAGATAGAACTGCTCCCAGTTGATTGTAAGGCCGCATGTTCAGAAAAGAAGCTGGAAAACGAGGAACTTGAGAAATGGCTGCAGCCTGTCCACTGTAAAGATGATATGATGATTTTGCCGTGTTATCTATATATATATATATATATATATATACATTACCATTCAAACGTTTTGGGTCACCCAAACAATTTGGTGTTTTCCTGAAAAGTCACACTTATTCACCACCATACTTTGTAAAATGAATAGAAAATAGAGTCAAGACATTGACAAGGTTAGAAATAATGATTTGTATTTGAAATAAGATTTTTTTCCCATCAAACTTTGCTTTCATCAAAGAATCCTCCATTTGCAGCAATTACAGCATTGCAGACCTTTGGAATTTTAGCTGTTAATTTGTTGAGGTAATCTGGAGAAATTGCACCCCACGCTTCCAGAAGCAGCTCCTACAAGTTGGATTGGTTGGATGGGCACTTCTTGAGTACCATACGGTGAAGCTGCTCCCACAACAGCTCAATGGTCACAAAGCAACCCCAGACCATCACATTATCTCCACCATGCTTAACAGATGGCGTCAGGCATTCTTCCAGCATCTTTTCATTGGCCCTTGTCCATTAATGGACAAGGGCCAGATTGAGGTAAATGTGCTCGTAGCTCTGCTACAACAGCAGGATACGATCACCTCGTGAAGGCCGACTGNACTGCAGCAGCAACAAGGCCGAAAGCCTTATGGTTGGTCTCTAGCTCCACCTGCTGGATCCATGCTACAATTGCAGCTTTGAACTGCTCCTTTCAGACATGTTTGTGTGTTTGAATATAAAGGTTTTCTTTATTATGTAGGATTTAAAAAAAGTTTGGGAAGCACGTTTGAGAAAAGGAAAAAAACAACTAAATTTAGATAAGGAATCCAGTCCTACCTTAAAGGTATCGTGGAGAATATTGTTTTTTCAGGTCCGATCATCGAAAACATTAAAAGCCATCAAATTATTACTTTTCAAATTAAGGTCTTAATTGGCATTAAAATTCATTAAATGTGATTATTGGTGCATTTAAAAAGCTTTATTTAAAAAAAAGAATAAAAACAGATATATTATATCAAATAGAACTGCTCCCAGTTGATGGTAAAGCCGCATGTTTGGAAAAGAAGCTGGAAAACGAGGAACTAAGATCATTAAAAAGCATTAAATTACAGTTAGTAATTCCTGTATAAACCCTGTTTGGGTAAGCCGTCTTACGTGCTCGTCCCCATTTTCACTTACCGGTGGTGAGTTCAGTAAGGTTCAAAGTTCAAAGTAAGCTTGCATGAGCGATGCAAAGACCAACTTTTAAACAGAGCGTGCACAAGGAGAAATGGGCTTCTGCATGCACTCGCATGAGTTTAATAGGCATTCCCTCTTGGGAGCGGGTACAGGGTTGTGCTTGTACATTTTTTTTCTATAGTGGACTGGGCAGGTCTTCCAAAATTTGTGAAGATCCTTCACTATACTACACTTTAATGTAGCCCTGCTCGTGCTTCTCTTGTCTGAATCCCAACATTTCCTTAAGACCTTTAATAGAAAGTGATGAGAGCATATTTGGGTTTTAAATCAGCTCTAGTTTCTCACAGCCCTGAATTGGGGGAAGTGGCGGCCTAGTGTTTAGGGCATTGGGCTTGGAATCCTGAGGTTGTGAGTTTGAAACCCACTTCCACAGCCTCCACTCTAGGTCTCTGAGCAAGAACCTTAACCCCACACTGTTCCCTGTGCGCCCCACGATGGCAGCCCACTGCTCCCCAAGGGGACGGGTTAAATGCAGAGGTACATTTCTCCAATGTGAGATCATTCAATTTATATTATTATTATTATTAATAAATCTAATTTATTTACATAAACCTCGATAAGTAAAAGGGATGCAAGTAATTGATTAATGAATTAATCAAATGTTTAATGATTTTAATATATATATTGAATTATATATATATAATTTTTACAGTACATCATTTTATCTATTAATAAATATTGACTGAACAAACAAAACATGTTTTTTTTTGTGCAAATTATTGAACTTATTTTTGTGATATAACAAAACAGGAACCTATTATGTTACTGTATAGAAGTAAAGATGAATAAAACGTGAAACTTATCATTTTCCATGTACAGAGAAATAAAACTATCATTGAAAAACAGGGTATGTCACTCTGACATACTGTTACACCACTTTGTTTCTCTGAAGTGGACTGATCTACTGATCTAGTTCTCTTTTTTTAATGTGATTAAACAGTCAGATGGGCAGAGTTTTTACTGCTAGCAATCCTTTTAAAGATGCAGTTCTGGTTTAGTTTTAGTAGAATTTAGTAAAATGTCTTTTTCTATCATCTTACAAAAGTTTTAGGTAACTATCTCCAAGCTAGTTAGCACGGCTAAATGGCTGCTGTTTCACTGTAGTTTGAGTGTTTATATTTACAAACAGAACCAAATAAAGTTATCATCGCTGTTAAACAGTGAAAATAATCCTGGAATGGACTGCATGCCTCCTCTCCTCTCTGGGGAGGCATGCCCTTGTCCATTGATGAACAAGGGCAAGATTGAGGTAAATGTGCTCGTAGCTGTGCTTCAACAGCAGGATACGATCACCTCGTGAAGGCCGACTGATTTACGATTCCTAATAAGAAGTTGGTCTTTCAGGACTGAAAAATTGGCCATAAAAAATCCTGCATTGTTTGCCTTAAAATAGGAG